CCTCATGTGGGGAAAATTAGAGGAAGATGGAGTGACCAGAGGGAGGCTCACCATCAAGAGCCTCAAGAATGTTTTTTTCTTTTTTTTTTTTTTTTTGTATTTTAGAGAAGGGTCTACAGGGTGTTCAGGGTCTCATTACTAGATCAGACTTATAGTGATCTGCCTGTTTATAGCCTCCAAGAGCTGGGATAGGTGCGTACCACCTTGCCCAGTCTCTCAAATATCTTTCTAATGGATTTAAGTTATACACTGTAGGTGATGAGAGACCATTAGAGTTTAAGGGGCACAGAGTATAGGACAGATTGGAGGAGATTGAATATTTAAAGATCAGTGAGAAAGCCATTGTTGTGGGCCTTCTTTAGGAAGAGGCAAAGGGTATAGGACAGATGTGAATATTCTAAGGTAGATCAGCTAAAGCCTGGTGGGAAAGACAAAATTCTAGGAGACTTTTATATTTTCTGGCAGGCTCTACCATTCTGAAGCAATAACAGTAGCAGAGGAAGAGGGAGAGAAATTTCAAGGAGGCAGGGGAAGGAACAAATTTAATATGAGACATGGAGAGGGCTAGAGGACATAAGCTAGGATATAAGCCAGACTTAGAAATAGAGCTCAGAAATTAGAGTAACCCAAAAGTTGGGGAGTTGGTGAAGATACTGTATGAACATAGTTGCCCAGGAAATCACAAACAGTAACAACCTATCTTGGAGTGAGGCTGAAACAGATAAAAGACTACCTGGGAATTGGCATCCACAGCACTCAGGCAGGCCCCAGAGCAGACGTTCCAGATACGAATGTGTCGGTCACTGGTGCCTCCCCCTGTTGCCAAAATATTGGACTGCCAAGGACACCATGCTACAGCCTAGGTGGGATAAAGGTAGGGTCAGCAGATACCTGAGCTAGACCAGGAGCTACATAGATCATGGATGAACTCAGCCTAACCTCACCATCCATTTTTCCTTGATAGTCTCCAGGTTATAGCTGAGGGTCTGTACAAGCCTCAACCCAAGCCCTCTCTTACCTTGACAGCACCTTGATGCTGGGTGAATGTTTGCAGTGGAACCCAGCCACCCTCTCCAGGAGAACTAGGCCACACATTGACCAAGTTATCATTGCCACCACTGGCTAAATGTCGTCCATCTGGAGCCCAGCGCAGTCCACACACTTCCTGGCTGTGGCCACTCAGTGTGGCCACGTGATGATCTGCTACCCGAACATCATGGTGGTGGATATGGCCAGAACGTGAGCCACTGGAGAGGGAAAAAGATTTAATTCTGTGGCAACACCAAATATGTATGCAAGTCAGAGCTGCTTCAGTTTAGGTGTATATTCAGGGGCAGAGACTTAGAGAAATTAGACTTGTTTTGCCATAAGACTGTCAAAAGTCACTGACCTCGACAGGATATAGCTGTTCCAACTTAGAGAGCTCACTCTTGCAGAGTGACTGGTCATGTTTCGGAGCCGTTTCTGCTGTTGAACATCCCATAGCTGGAGAGAGAAGATCACTAGGATTAGAGACTGGGCCTTGGCATTAACATCCTCCAGCCAGGCAACACTCTGGGTCAGGGGGTGTCAGCAGGACTGCAGTCCTGGGACCAGTTTCACCTGCACTTCAGCACTGCTGGTGCCCACAGCCAAGTAGTTGCCCTCTTTGATCCAGGCCACAGAGGATACATAGTCCCCAGGCTGCTCCATTTGCAATAGCTGAAGGATGTCACCAGAGCTTGCATTCCACAAGTACACACTGTTGTCTAGTGCCACTGCTAGTACATTCCCAGAGCTCCAATCCACAAGGTTCAAGTCTGTGCAAAAAGGAAAGAGCATGAGTTTCTTTGCCTGATTCCCAGTCCCTCTTTCTCCAACTATGGGCAAGAATAAAGCAGCACTAACAATAGTCATTTCGGATTTCAGGGGCATCCAGGATCCGGTCTGGTAGGGAAGGAATGTAACGGCAGGCCTTTCGACTGGAGCCAGGCGTGGCCTTCTGGCTGTAGAGCACTTTCAGTCTGTTTTGGTAGCCTGCAGAATGGAATGGATGTAGATCTTAGGAAAACTGACACTTCCCCTGCCTTCAACTTTGGGTGGGAAGAACAGACCCTGAAGACAGACTGTCACAAACCTCCAACAACTCCAGGTCTTACCTTCTGGGGCATTCTGTGGTTTTCCACTGAGCCGAAGGATCTTGGCTTCCTCCACATCAAAACCATTCAGGTTCAAAGCCCAGGCTTTCTGATGCTCCTGCCATATACAAGCAATGGTAAGCAGGTTGGTATCCAAATACAAGTCTCATGTCTTTTGCCCCTCTGGGGAACATACCTTCTTGGTGGGTGTCTGGCTGTTTTCAGGCTGATTCTCCTTGCTTAGGAGGAAGCTGGCCACCTCCATCTGGGAAGCACTGCGGTGGGGGATATATCGGTCACCTCCAGGTTTGCTAGGGGTGGTCTGAACCTTGGAATTAGATTTGCCTGAGGCAGGGAGAGAGAAGCCAGTCTGACCAGGTTCCCGAGGGCGGAGGCATCAAGCTGCTCTCAGCCTTCCCCCTCTGCCCCGTCCCGCCGCCCCCCACTCACCCGGAGTTCGGCCTGGGGTCCTGCCCGCGCTGTGGGACCTGTTGGCGGCCCGCATAGGGGAGGGGCCCGGCCCCGAAGTTTCCTTGGCTTTGCGCTGCCAGCGCGCGAGGGGCGCATTGGGAATGGGCGCATCCAGCTGAAGCAGGGAGTGTAGGTCACTCTCAAACACGAACTGCGCCATGAGAGCGTCTGGAGGGGGGATGGGGTCCTTGCAGTCGTGGCCCCCTGAACCCTGGAAGGACAGACCACCGTGCTCGGGACGACGCAGGGCTCCTTCGAGAACGGGGCCACAACTAGGGGCCCCTCGGCTTCAGCACCCAACTCCCGAAGGGACCCCTGGGCTCAGCACAGCTGTTTCTCACCGTACGCTCCTAAACGGGTTTCAATCTCGACCAGCTTCAGTATGACAAGCCTGGGACTCTTAAACTGTCCGCTCCGAGCGGTCATTGGCTCCTTCAAATCCCAACCGTCGCAACCGTCGCCCTCGCTCATTGGCCTTTACAGCGGAGGGGGCGGGTCTTCCGGGGCAAGTCACGGTCTCACGAGAGTGCGCAGGGGTGTGATTTGAAGCCGGCCGGAGCTGGAATCTGAAAGCCTTGGGGGGGTGTCCTGCGCCCCCGGTGCGTGCCGGGGTCGCTAGCTTTTTCCCCTCTGTCACCATCACCTTCCGCAAGCTCACGTAGTCAGCTGGTCGATAAGCTTGGGTGATAGAAATGCGCAGAACTCGTTGACCCAAAGCACTGGAGCGGACCAGAGAAGGGGCGGGCGGCCATGGGTGGGAGGTGGCCGAGTGGAGACGCTGGGCCGCTGGGAGAGGCCGGGCCGGGCGGGGCGGGGCGCGCCCGCTGGCCGGGAGCCCGCTGGTAACGCGTGGGCTTTGCTTCTTCGGTGGATTCTTTATGGTCAGGGAAAAGAGTCGCGATTCAGACCTGCCCATCTGGGGAGATAAGGTTGAAATGCCCTATAGGAAACACTGGCTTACTCTGCTGGCGGTAGTGGGTGTATTTTAAACAGGGTCTCACTGTGTGGTCCAGGCTGGCCTGCAAATCCTGGTGAACCTCTAGCCTCAGGTTTCCTGTTGGTCCTATCACGCCCTGCTCCTCTTGAGGCGTTAGAGTGGTCAGGGATCTTAGCCTGATTTACCTGTACTTCCCAATGGGCATCACACCCATATTTTACAGATGGAGAAACCGAGGTCCAGGGAAAAGTTGGTCAAAGGTCATACAAAGAGCTTTATAGGAATCCAGGTCTGACTCCCCATTCAGTAATGCTTTGAGCCGGGCCTGGTGGTGCACACCAGTAATCCCAGCACCTGTAATCCCAATAGGAGGATTGCCGTGAATTTGAGACCAGCTTGGGCTATACAGTGAATCCAAGGCCAGCCTGAATTGCATACTGAGACCCTGCCTCAAAAAGGAAAAGAAAAGAAAAGGGCCGGGGAGATGGCTCAGTGGAATAAGCGCTTCTCTGGCAAGCGCGAGGACCTGAGTTCAATCCCCGGTTCTGTAAAAAAAAAAAGAAAAGAAAAGAAAAAAAGGAAAAGAAAAAAAGAAATGCTCTAATAGTGACTTGAATAAATTATGTGACTATGTCCAGAGGTGAAGTAGCAATAATAAAAGTAAGAGGAACCATTTATTTAAAAAGCTCAGTTATTAGTCCCATAAAGCATTTTATTTATTTATTTGAGACCAAGTCTTGCTACTTAGTTCAGGCGGGGCTTGAACTTACTATGTAACCCCAAGCTGGCCTTAAATTCATGGCGATCCTTGTGCCTAGGCTCCCTAAGTGTTGGGATTACATGTATGTACCACTATGCCTGGCTCATTATACTGTATACAAAAAGAAACTGGGTCAGGATGAGGTTAGAAACTTGAGCAAAGGCATGCAGCCAATAATAAGTAGTAGAGCCAGGGTTTAATGTCTAACTTTGTGACCCCAACAATATGCTAAACTGTTTAAGAGATTGGAAAAAGCTGGTGTCCAGTCAGCCTCAGGTCAACCCAGTGATGACAGAAAACTTGTGCTTGTGAGTCTAAACAGTATTTTTTTTGTGACTTTTGAGCTTTCATGCTTCCTGTTTGCAGTTACCTTGCAAAAAACGAGGGTTATGGTTTATTTTGGATGTTAAAAGCCTGATGCACTCATGGGTGGGGTTTTTCGAGGCCACTGGCCTATGGGTGTGATGCTCATCAGTGGATTAGTGCACTGATGAGTTTACAGCGCAGTGTGATGTTGGCAGGTGAAGCCTTGTCAGAGGAGGTGGGTCAGTTGGCGCGTGGCCTGGAAGAGTGTCTCCTCTTTTCCCTTTTCCCTTCTCTGCTTCCTGATTGCCCTGCCATGAGCAGCCTCCTCTGCGATGGCCCACTGCCATGCTGCCCTGCCTTGGAGCCAGCCAACTATGGACTGAAACCTCTACCAAAAAAAAAAAGAGTCAAAATAAAGTTTTCCTACTTTAATTTGCATGTATCAGATATTGTGTCTCAGTGACAAGGAAAGTAAGACAAGAGATTTGAAGTGTTAAAGCTGGGGAATTCCTGAACTCCAGAAGATTTAGAAAAGGTGGTCTAATATCAGGCTTAAATGTTTACCTAAGGAGTTTGTTTGTTTTGTACTAGGGCTGAAATCCACTGTACTCTACCACTGGAGTACATCCCCAGCATGCTCTTTCTTTCTTCCTATCTTTTACCTATCATCTATTTATTATCTGTGGATCTGCAGATAATAAGATAAGGTCTTACCAACTTGCTTAAGCTGGCCTTGGGCTTGAAATCCTACCTCTGCCTCCCAAGTAGCTGAAATTACAGGTGTGCACCACCCATGCTTGATTTAGGAGTTTGAATTTTTATCTGCCAGCTGTAGAACCAGTGGGGGTTTCTGTGTACAGAAGGGCCAAGCAAAACATCAGAGGAGGGAGTGTGGCCAGCATTTTGTAACTGTAGGACCAAGAGTAACTGTGGAGGAAAAGAATGTGGGAACAACCTCAAGGAATCTATAATAGAGAAGGAAAAGAATGAAGGAAGGCAATGGATATCATACAGACATGGGTCTTACAAATAACTGTAATAAGCTATAGAATGGTCTAGAAAGATGACCAAAAAAGGTCAGATTTGACCTCTGAGAAACAATCTTGGTGACTTTAGAGACAGTGGGATCAGGAAAGCGGTTGCTAACAATCCACTTAAAAGGGGCTACAGAAAGAATAGGGAGAATGTGGTATCCACTTATAAGCTATTTGTGTAACCCAGCCTCTGATGTCTTATTTGTGAGACTTACTATAACAAAGTAACACAAACTGGGTGGCTTAAATGACAGACTTTTTTTCCCTCACATTCTGGAGCCAGAAGTGCCAGCAGTGTTAGTTCCTTCTTAGGGCTGTGAGAAAAATCTGTTCGGTGCCTGTCCTCTAGCTTCTGGTGGTTTGATGGCAGTCCTTGGCTTGTGGAAGTACTGCCCTGATCAGCCTTTACCTTCACTTGACCTTCTCGTGACCTTTTCTAGATCTGTACCCAAATTTTCTTTTTTGGGGTAGGGGTGGGTGCAGGCAGGGTCTGGCTGTGTAGTCCATGTGGGCCTTGTGGCAACCATCCTCAACCCTGCTGAGACTGCACATATGCACCACCATGCCCAGTTTACAAATTTTTCTTTTTGTAAGAATATCAATCAGATTTGATTAGGGTCCATGACCTCATCTTAACTAATTATATATGCAGTGACTCTACTTCCAAATAAGGTCACATTTGAGATATTTGAAGTTGAGACTTCAACACAAGAATTGATTTTTGGAAGTAGGGGTGTCATACATTTAGCCCATAGAATCCTCCCATTGGTGGAATCTAAAAAGAAACCAGAGCCCAGGAAGTCCACTGAGTCCGTGTGAATCAGCCTTGCAGAACACACAGCAAGGCAGAAGGTAGAGCAAATGGATGACATAGCATTCATACTCCCCATTCCCCGGTCATGGTAAAAGCTCTGACTCTTCTCTTAGGGACCAAACGCTAGGATGGGAGGAGAATGAACTCAAACTGCTTATTTCCCTGCTCCACCTGTGGCTACCTAAAGGTAGTATATTCCCCTACCCAAGGTCACAATTCCTGTGAGGCAGCCCCTCTTATATTTTGTTTTTCTGAGATCGGATCTCACTATGTAGTTTAACCTGGCTTTGAACTCATGTAGTCCAGGCTGACCTCAAACTAACAATATCCTCCTGTCTCAGCCTCCCAAGTGCTGGGATTACAGGCATGAGCCACCACACCCAGCTGGCAGCTTTCTCTTTTATGACTCCAGTTCTAGTAACCACTCCCTTTCTTTACCCCCTTGATGTCTAGGTGTGGTGCCAGCTCCTTGGTGGTAGTAGCTCTGGAGTACTGCACTGTTGCTTGATGGTGTCCCCAAATCTTGCCCTCACATTTGTTAATATGCTCTTTATTAAACTCTCACCAAATTACCCAGTTTGAGTGCCATGTATTTCTGTTAAGAACTTAATATAATGGGTATATTTGAAAGCAAGCAAAAAACAAAAGTATTTGCTTAAAAATTTGAGTGGGTGAGGAGAATCCATAACTAGAGTAATTTAAGTACATTACTGTTACCTATGAATGGCTTAGAGGTTGAGGAAGCTAACTTGGGGTTAAGATAATACTTCCCAGAAAGATTTTATTCATTTGTTCAAGGCCTGCTATCACATATCAAGCAATGTTCTAGGTCAGTAGTGGTGAATTTAGGGCATATGTGAAGGAGCAGGTTGTATTATTGAAAGCTCTGAGTGTTTTGCCATCACTGTTCTAGAGCTAGAGAAAAAAAAAAAGACAAATAAGTTATGGCCCTTGCCCTCATGGAGCTCACAATCTAGTAGCAGGAGGCAGATGTGTAAACAATTACTTGCAAAAAACATCATAGATGCAATACTTAAGTCTGTGCTGGAGTTAGAACTTTGGAAGGCCAACATATAGTAGACAATGAGAAAAGATGGGATTGAAGATTGAATTAAGAATGGAGTCTTTGGGCTGGGGAGATGGCTCAGTAGAATAAGCACTTGCCTGGCAAGCTCAAGGGCCCAAGTTCAATCCCCAGTTCCGCCAAAAAAAAAAAAAAAAAAAAAAGAGAATAGAGCATTACAGCCAGGCATGGTGGTACATGCCTATAATCCCAGCACTCTCAAAGCTGAGGCAGGAGGATAGCTATGCATTTGAGGCCAGCCTGGTCTACATAGAGACTTCAAGCCCAGTCTGAGCTACATAGTGAGATCCTATTTTAAAAAAAGAAAGAATGAAGTCTTAGACCTAAGGATGTAGCTAAGCAGTCAAGCATAGGCCTTGCCTATCCAAAATCCTAGGTTTAAACACCAGCATGGTAAACAAAACAAACAAACAAATGGAAGCTTGAGAGACTGCACTAATTAAGGATAGGAAAAAAATGCCAGAATATGAGATTAAGAAGGAATAACTACAATAGTAGTTCAGATATATTAAGTATTTACTATTTCTTAGGGTTCTTTGGGTTATCTCAATATTTTTCACAACTCTGGAGGATTGTGATTGCTTCTTTTATACATGAGAAACTACAGCAAACAAAGACATTTAGCTATTTGTCTGAGGTGGCACAGTTAGCAAGTATGAAGGACAGGAATTGAAGCCAGCACTGACTCATTTATTCTTTTAACTTTTAGTATACTCAGACAGGTATAGAACTAGGACAGAAATTGACAGTATGGAAGCCAAAGTGGAAGAGAATATAAAGTAGAGATGAGGAACCATCTGCAAAAGCCACAGAGAGATCAAGTAAACTGATGATTGACAAGATCCTACTGAAACTTGCAATGAGAAGATTTAAAAGGAACTTTGCCATGGCAGTTTTATTAGCAAAGTGGGAACAGTGGAACTAAATGAAGTCTCCGAAGAATCAGTAGGAAAATGGGGACTTCTTTTCACAGAGGTTGGCATTCAAGAGGAGAAAGAGGGTGAGTCAGAGGAATTAGTGAAAGGAGCCTGTCTGGAGAAAAGGTCCCGGATTTTTTTTTCAACAGCAGTATGAAAAATCAGTTCTGAGAGCCCAACCAGGCTGGAAGCTGAGGACTGGAAGTGAAGTCTGGGGTGCCAGTGTTAGGATAGGTTAAGGGCAGTATATCAAGAAGTCTAGGTGTGTCAGGTCCTAGGAGAGACTTGTTTTCAGGGCTGCTGCCAACAACTTAATGGTAGATATGAATGGTTGGCAATGTGTGTAGTACGGCAGTACCCCGACTCAGCCCCAGGTGGACACATAGACAAGGTTGAGGCCCCATGGCAGGAAGGCTGCAGTCCTCGGTAGTCTGTCCAGGCCTGGGAAGGACACAGGGGCAAGGGTGTCCTCTCCGAGGGTTTAGGTAGAATCTCCAGGAGGCTGGGCTCTGCTTCTTCATAGGTATCTGTGGCTGTGGCCTTGGGCTAGGAGAGATGGTTGAAGGGAACTGAGCTAGAGTAGATCCAGATTGTGTAGGAAAGCAAGTTGGATTGGGGGTGGTGTCTGAGGATGGTACATTGAGGCCATGACCTTGAACAAATTGCACTGAGGGGCAAGGAGCATTGGTGGTGGAGCGCGGAGAGGGACAGTGCACTCACCATACTCAGGGCTGCAGTATCTCTAAGGTACTGGTCGAGGACCCGGTGCAGGTCTGGAAGAGAGGGCCACACGGCATGCCTCAGCCTCCTAGGGGACAAGCAGGAGAAGCAGACTGAGTCCTAGGCATGAGCTGGGAAGGTTGGACAGAAGACTGCAGGGGCTGCGGTGGAGGCATACTGAGGAGTCTTGAGGGCTGGAGCACAGTTCAGGCTATAAAGTAAGGCAGAGGAGCAGAGGTGAGAAGAAAACCTTGGGGGAGAGGAAAACCTGGTAGGTAGCCTCCCAAGGGGCAGTGCAGAACTTCTCAAACATTGCTGTGTCAGGCCCTTCACACTTGCTGCTCTTTCTGCCTGGAACACTCCATTCACTCCCTCACTCCATTTAGGGCTCTGCTCAAATGTTAGCCTGACAGAGATACTGTCCCTGATTAGGATGCCTAAAATTGTAGCATCATCCTTCCCATCATTTTATTTCCTGCTATGCTTTTCTATATAGCACTTGATTTACTGTATATTTCTTTTATTGTTTTTGTCCACGTCTCCTCACTACAGTGTAAGCTCCTTGAAAGCAGTTTGCATATTTTTTCCCGTATCTCCAGTGTCTAGCCCATCATAGGTGTTCAAGAAGAGAACCAGAGGACGTTATTACTGAGTTACTAGAGAGGGTTTCGATCCTCTTCCACAGCCTTACTCCTGCCTCCTGAAAAGCAGAAGAGGGACTTACCTGCCTGGGGAAAAGGAGTACAATATGCTTAGCTCAGCAACACTTCCTCCCTCTAACTTTTTTGCCAGATCCACTTTGCTTTCACGCATAGGCAAATTAAAAGTTCAGAGAGCAGATGGTCAAAGAGAAATAAGAGCCCACAAGAGGGGCACCTGACTCAGCCTAAGACCATCAAAACACAGTGCCCAGAGGAGTTGGATTCTGAACTAAGTCTCCAAAAAATCAGCTGATATTACCAGCTGAAGAACTGAGGTGGCGTGGATTCTATCTTTCATGTTTATAACTCCCAGTGACATTTCTCCTCAGCCCCCACGTACATGAGTCATTCATTACTAACATTTATTTAAGGCCCTGCTACTTGGCAGGCACTATGCTAAGAACTTAAAAATGACCAAGTAAGGTAGAATGAAGAAGATATGTAAAGAATTAAATGCAGGGCTCGGGTGTAGCTCAGTGGTTGAGGGGGTGCTTAGTGCTTAGTGATTCAATCCCCAGCACCATAGTTAATTAATTAAATCAGTAAAACTGTATTCTACTGTATTAGGACACAGAAAAGCAGCCAGTGAGGGAAGGTCAGAAAAGGTTTCCTAAGAGTTGGTGAAGAAAGTTATTTAAAGATGAATGAGTGAAAATAAAACAAATTATATATATTTTTTAAAAAGATGAAACCAGGGAGGACATTTCAGGCAGAAGGGACATTATGTTCAAAGGCACTGAGGAGTGAAACAGCAGACTTGTGGAGGAAATCAAGTTTGGCAAGGTTAATGCACAAGGCAGAAGAGGGTAGAAGGGCTGGTAGCGAATTTGCATAGTGTAACTTGTCATTCTAAGGAATCTGGGCTCTATCCTAGGAGTTAGTGAAGGGATTTAAGGTGGGAAAGATGGCTCATGTGTACATTTCAAGAAGGTTATTCTGGTGGCTGTGTGAGGTTAACTCAGAAGACTCAGGTCTCCTTTCAGGAATTCAGGTAGTGTCTGTAGGACTAGAGGGGCTAGGTTTAGGAGTGGAATGACCAGATCTGAGGGCCAGCTGGGTGGGGTGGAGTGGGGGAGGGGAGGTAGGTACTTAAGTGTCCTGGCATGAGCCCAGCAGGGACAGTAACTTTGTTACTAAAGTGAACACTCACGAGGTAGTGCTGTTTGAGGATCCCGTTATAGTGGACATGTTAGAGCTCAAGGAGATAGGGGCCGGGGAGATGGCTCAGTGGAATAAGCGCTTCCCTGGAAAGCACAAGGGCCTGAGTTCAATCCCTGGCTCCGCCAAATGAGTTCAAGGAGACAGCACCACTCCGGAAGACATGCAGGAAGCGGGTGAGAACGTGTGGTGGTCCAGAGAGTAAATGTCACCATGTCACCAAGCAGGTCGCCTGTTTAGGGATCTCTGGCCCTACCTGCTCCGCCCTGTCTCCCTCTGGCTAGGGCGGTACCTGTAGTGCGCAGGAAACTGCCACCTCAGCAGCAGCAGGCCAAGAAGGGCACTGAGACCCAGCACCAGGAGCAGAATGGTCACCAAGGAGATCCAGGCTAGGGGACAAAAACCTTCAGGCCTCGGCTGACCCGCCACCCCGCCCGCAACCCCCCCGAACCACGCCCTAACCCCAGCGTCTGCGCCTCAGCCCGGCTGGATCAGGCCCCTTCGCCGGAGCCCCGCTCCTCGGGCTGCTGCAGAATCGCGCGGTCCTGGCTGAGCTGCTCCTTACCGGGCTCCGAGGCTGTCTCCACCCTCGCAGGCTCGGACCAGGCGCTCCAGGGGCCTTGGTAGGTGGGGCCGTTGAGCCTGGCGCGCAGCTGTAAGCGGTAGCGGGATCGCGGGCGCAGCTCCAGGCTCCCTCCCCGGGCTCCGAGTGGGGGTTCCAGCACCTGCACAGAGGAGAGGTGAGCGGAGACTCAGAGTCCCTGGGCGTGGGCGCTGGCCGCATAAACAGGCGGGGCCGAGCGCCCCTACTGAGACCCCTCTCTTTGACCGGGTTTCTGCCTGTGAGACGCACCAGGGGACACTGGCGCAGACCTACCTTCACAGAGACCCTGTTCCAAGCACCTGTGGGACACCTTGGCCGAGATCCCAGAACTCGGACGCACTGACCATGACATGCTGGATGCTATCACAGCCACTCCTGCGTCACTCAGATCTCGAGCCGCACAGACCCTACCACAAGCACTGCTCCTGGGCCCAGGAGGGCAGATTTGTGTTAGGCGCAGCGGTTATAAGCAGCATGGGCGCAAGCGGGGAGTGTTAATCAATCAGCAAACATTTATGGTTGCTGGAGATGTGCCAAACATTGGGCTAGGCACCGGAGAAAAAGATCAAACAGTATCTAATGAGGGAGACTGCCGATGCATGGTAGGTATGGGAAGGCTGGATGGTCAAAGAGAAGGACAAGCAGTCCTACATTTGAAGAGTTGGTATTCTTCAAGGTGCTTGTTGATAAATAGGGAGAAGAATAAAGAAAAGACATAGGTTCTGGGTTAAGTGGTAGTGTCATTAGCAGAGACAGAAGAGAAAGTAAGCTTGAAGTAGAAATGCCATATGGTTTTATTTTTGGTCTTCTTGAAACAGGGTCTTGCTATGCAATTCAGATTGGCCTTGAGCTCACTTTATAGCCCAGTCTGATCTCAAACTCATAACTGTTCTCATGCCTCCTGAGTGCTGGGGTTACAGGCATGGGCCACTATGCTTGGCCATATCGTTCTATTTTGTTAAGTTTACTGTCAAATGAACCAATGATAATGTCAGGATAGTGATTACCTTCCATTTAGGTAACTAACTGAGAGGGTATGAGGAACTTCTGGGGTGCTGGAAATTACTTGTATCTTGATCTTGGTAATGATTCCATGAGTGTATCCCCATGTACAATCAGTTATATACTTAAGAAGGTTTGTACACTTTAGTATATGTAAGTTTTACCTCAGTAGAAACAAAGTACATTTGGTTAGAAAGGTTTTAGTTTTGGATACACTGAGTTTGAACTATTTGGGATTGAGGAGATTTAGATAGAGTTGCCTGCCTGATATCTAAATATGGTAAATGAGAATAAAAGTAGACAAGCTAATGTTTAACTGGTGTATAGAGTGCCTCCTATATACCAGGCACTATGCTAAGTATTTACACATTATAGTATGTCCCTGATTTACAAATTCATTCTTGGAGAACACTCATAAGTCAAATTCGTTTGTAAGACCAACAAAGTGAGTCATATACAGCTTTACACAAATATACAGTGCATATCCTGTGCTTCCTAGCAGTCCTCTCTACAGCACCACTGCTTTTCCTCCTGCCTCCAGGTCTCCTGGGCTCTGACTAAGCCCTGCACTGCTGTCCACTCTACACGGGGCAGTGAGCACACAGCAGCACGGCTGTGACAGCGTCTGGCAGACACCTGGGCTCCTCTCGTGATTTGTTCACATCTACAAAGGTTCCTAATGTGAGGTCTGTTCTTAGCTGTGAAAGTTCGCAATTTAAATGTCAGTAAGTCGGGGACTTACTGTATTTAATTTTTACTCTGTAAGATAGCTTTATCTCTATTTCACCAGTAAAATACTTCAAAATTTTAAATAATCTGCCTGTGCTTCTTAAATTCCTAACATATCGGCATTAGAGTGGTAAAATTGGGATTATTAATGTAAAGGTAAAATTTAGGGGGGAAAAGACATCTTAGCTAACACTCTAGAAATAACATATTATGGAAGAGTGGAAAAGGAGCAATAGCAGAAAGAATATCAGGGAAGACTGATATCCCAAAAGCAAAGAGAAAAGAAAACTCTATGTAGGAGTAGCTAGCAGTGTCAGATCCTCAGGAGAGTAAGATCCCAGTTAGATCAGGTAAACCTAGATTAGATATTCAGGCCCAACTTGGTGGTGCACACCTGTTATCCTGCAGTCTAGGAGGCTGAGGCCTCATCAGCTTAAACACGTAACACAACCCTGTCTACAAATTTAAAAAATAAAAAAGGGCTGGATATGAAGTTCAGTGCAAAGGCTGTGGGGTTGGACCCCAGAACTGGGAAAAAAGAAAAACAAACAAGCAAATCAACAAACCACATAAACAGAACTACATAAGTTCAGCTATGAAAATATGAACACAGTTTCTCTGGTGCAACAACAGAAATGTCCTCTGAGGCCATTTGTTGCTTGACTGTATACCTTCCAGTCCTGATGGCCTTCTCCAGTGTACCGGAGTTGATAGCAGGTTTCTGGGGCTGCCCAAGATGATGGGTGCTGCCACTCCAATGCCAACTGCCCGCTGGAGACCTCCCTCCAACGCAGGTGTGGGGTGGGGATGAGCACTACAGAGATTTCAGCAGGGACTGGTTTCAGCCTAGGTGCACGAGGTGTCATCACATCACCAAGGCCGTAGGTTAGAGGTGTCAGAGTTGGGGATCATGGCAATGAATAGGGTCAGAAGTTTCGTTGGGGGCAGGAATGGTATGGGAAGAAAAAGAAAGAAAGTTCTTACCAGCCTGGTGCATCCAGAAAGGGGAGCCCAGGTAGCTGTGAACAACACCCTGGGCTGTGGTCACCTCTACAAGGGTGTGAATAGCACTGTCATTTCGTGACTTGAAGCGGCAGCGGGAGAGCTGAGAGAGCTGTAGTTCTGGATTGGTTTTCTTCTCCTCTTCACACTTCTCCCAGATGGGGTACCTAAGAACCATAAAGTCATCAGATCAGGCCTGCCCTACCGATTAATTCCGATCTGCTCCATAGCACCCCGACTATGGCTGGCATGGGTCTAACGCCCCGCTTGGAGGGAACTCCAAGGTTCTCCCTCTTCTCTGTGCCATGAGGTCCAGTCTCCTCGAGGAAACAGCTAGGACGATGTGTGAAAGTAACACGACCTACACAGTTCAAATGCTGCCTTATATGTAAGTCTTGGCAATTTTTTAAAAGCTCTGCTCTAGTTTCCTTCTTTTTGTAAAGGGGGTTGATGGCTACCTCACAGAATTGTTTCAAAGATTAAAGAGACTTTATTTTCTGGATGGAAATGTCTTGTGTTTTAATCTGTTCTCATACAGAACCCCCAACCCCACCCCTACAGGTTATACCATTATCATCTGGCTTTTCTGCTTCCATTTTTCACCAAGGCCTTCAGTTGTTTCCTCCCACTTACTAGAACTTGCTTCTAAAAATACTGATCTGCTACTGTCCAGAATACATCACAAGTCTATTCATTTTGACTTTTACCACTGCCTATAAGATGAAACCAGCTTTATCTCTTGCCTGAATTAACAGCAAATTTCTAGCTGGTGATCTTGCTTCTATTATTATTTATAGCTTTACAGAGAAATACACCTTTTACAAATTTAAGTTGTGCCACTCTTCTTTTTAAAATCCAAGCTCCACACCAGTCCCTGTGAGACTGGATATGATCTAGTTCCTCCTTACCTCACCATTCTCAGCTCCTATGATTTGCATGCCAGGTTATCACCCTTTATCTACATGTGGCTTCTTTCTGTGCCATAAATCCACCAGCTGTGTGGTCTTTGCATTTTGCCTTTGCCATGAGTAGCTTTGATCCTAGGTCTTATCATGACTCATTCCTTCTTACTGCTCAGATCTTAGCTCACCGGATAGCTCTCTGGTAAGGCTTTTCCTGGGCACTCAGTCTGTTAGCAGTCCCCTGTTCCAGTTCTATTATATAACCCTGTTCTTCATTTCTTTAATTGTTTCTTCTCTCACCCTCATTAAAATGTGAGCCTCAACAATGAGGAGCCTCCCCCTTTTTCCTTTCAGTACTGGGGACTGAACCCAGGGTCTGTCACATGCTGGGTAGCACTCTACCACTGAGCTATATGTCTAGCTCTAGAACATTTCCTATTTTGTCACTCCATCCCCAGTGTCCCTGTGACCTTAATAATACTTCTTTATTGAACAAACCAATCACGTCTGCTTCCTGATTATAATTCTCAAGCAACTTGTCATTACTAAAATCATTCATCACTTTATGTACTTATATATTTACTCATTTATTTCACAATTTATACTCATATGCCAGGGATTGTGCTAGGCCTTTTGAGGATATAGAGGAATAATCTTTAAGGAATGCTCATTTCAAAAGAAGAGACAGAAAAACAGATGTTATTTGCTCTGTGATGTGCACAGGCTGGCTAGGGAGGACCAGAGAGGAGCATGTAGCGCAGACTGGGAGGGTCAGGGAGTGCTTCCTGGCTACGGCAGTGTTTAGACTGAGGCTTTGCTATATATAGACTGTACCGAGGGAACAATTGGGCATTCCAGGCACATGTTTGTGCACTGATAAGGGAGTGTGGTGCTTTGGGGAAATTGTAAGTGTGCAGAATAGTTCTGTGACAGAAGGCCTTGTGGGAAATGGCGATATGAGCCGGCAGATCTGTCATAGATGGATTTATGGCCTTTTCAAGGTGCTTGAACTTAATTTTGGGGGCAATTATGGACACTATAAGGATTGAAAAGTGCTGTTTTTACCTCTGTACTTGTGGAAGATCACTCTAACCGCAGTTTGTAGAAAGAATTTGTGAGGGCAAAATAGAAGCAGACAAAACCATTAGGACACTGTTGCCGTTTGTCACGTGCAAGTTGGTGAGGTTCTGAAAATAGGGTAGTGGCTGTGAAGGTAGAAGGAAGAGGCCGTTCAGGCTCTTGTCTCTGCTGAGAGCTATAAGAGACAAGTCTAGTTTTGATCAGAGTGGGAGAACTCTAGTGCAACTTATATTTTAGGCATGGGAAACAGTTTTTGGTTAAGATAGAGAACAATCAAGAGGAAGAGCAAATTTTGGTAGAAGGAATGATGCTTTTAGTTTTTTCATGCATGGCATCTTTATACTATGTAAATCTGTGTAGTTATTGAAAGGAAATGACTTACTTCCTTTTGTAATGAACTGTAAGATACTAATTTGAAAAGGTGAGTTAAACCATAGAGGGCTGGATGGTAGATGCTTGTTTAATGTGTGCGAGGGTATGACCTCTAGTACTGCAAAAATAACAAAACCCCAAACCCATATATATGTAATATCAATTCATATTTTAAAATTAAGAATTATATGTAGATATATGCAAATACATAGGGAGAAATAAAAATACATTAACATGGTAAAAAATAGCTTTTTCATTACTCACTCACTGAACTTTTTTTAGACCACGGAGCCATCTCACCAGCCCTGAGGATAGATCACAGGGGCATTCTACTACTGATCCATAAGCTATATCCTTGATCCTTTTTTATTTTCCTATTTTGAGACAGGGTCTCAATAAGTTGCACAGGGCAGCCTCAAACCCCTACTGTGTTCCAGACACTGCCACACTGAGAATATATTGGTGAGTTAAAAAAACCAAAAAACATTGATTATGCCCTCATGGATTGTATATAGTTATAATTAGCATTTTTCAACTGGAGTTCCAAAATATAAATTTTTTTTTTTCTTGAGGATTGGATTGGTTCTGGGAATTGAATCTATTCTTTTTTTAAAATTTTATTTGTGTGTGTGTGTGTGTGTGGCCAGCTCAGCCCACCAGGGGGTGGGGCTGGCTGGCATGTGGTGCTGGGGGATTGAACCGCGGTCCCTGTGCTCTGCTAAGCTTGTTCTAAGTAGGTGCTTTAGACCACGGAGCCATCTCACCAGCCCTGAATCTGTTCTATTTTGGTTCTGGAGATTGACTCTGTTCTTTCTTTTCCAGTCTGTTTGTTTGTTTGTGAGACAGGGTCTTGAGCTCACTTTGTAGCCCAGGTTGGCCTTAAACTCGAAACAATCCTCCTGCGTCAGCCTCCCAAGTGCGAGGATTGCAGGCGTGCACCATCATGGCCATCTGGGGATTGAATCCTGATTCTCTGCACTGAACTTTAGCCTCAGTACATTTTACTTTTTTTTTTTTTTTTTTTTTTTTTTTTACTTGTATTTTAGGGCAGGGTCTACAGGGTGTTCAGGGTCTCACTAGTAGATCGTACTGTAGTAATCTGCCTGTTTACAGCCTCCCAAGAGCTGGCATTACAGGTGCGCCACTGTGCCCAGTCTCAATTGCTGGCTCAGTGTGCCCTGGGGGAGTGGGGCTGGCACAGCAGGCCTGGGGATCAAACCCCCGGCCCCTGAACCTGCTTACAGGCACTTTAATCCACTGAGCTATTTGGCCGGCCCCCGGTTTACTTTGTTAAAAATTAAAAAAAAAAAAATCTTAAGGGCTGGTGAAATGGCTCAGTGGTCTAAAGCACCTACTTAGAACAAGCTTAGCAAAGCACAGGGACCGCGGTTCAATCCCCCAGCACCACATGCCAGCCAGCCCCACCCCCTGGTGGGCTGAGCTGGCCACACACACACACACACACACACACAAATAAATAAAAAATTAAAAAAAATCTTAACTTCTGAGACAGGATCTTGATAAATATTACTAAATTGCCTAGGCTGGCTTTGAAAAACTCCTTCCTCAGCCTTCCAGAGTACTGAGGATACTCACATAAAGCATAAATTTCATTTCCTTTTGTTTTGAGGTACAGTCTTGCCATGTAGTTCAAGTTGCTCACAAACTCACTATGTAGCCTAGGCTGGCCTCAAACTTCTCTCAATCCTCCTGCCTCAGTCTCCTGAGTGCTGGGATTACAGGTGTGCACCATCATTCCTTGCTTTAAGTTACAAATGTTTAAATTCTAATTGTGATAAATACTTGAGAAGGAGAAGTGCATGGTACAACTAGTATAGGCAGCTAAGTGAAATAGAGATTCATATACAGTCAGAGAGGAGTCAAGCCCTCAAGGGAATCAACACGAAAGCATGAAGGTAAGAACTGTGGCTAGAGGCACATCTGAAGAAGGACAGGCCTCAAAATGCAGTAGCAGACTTGAATGCTTTTCTCAGGAATAAACAGCTATTTGAGATTCTGCTATAATTAGCACCACCAATCCAATAAATCCAGATAGGCATAGGCTTCTAGGTGAGTGCCAGAACACCTGGGCCAATCCCTTCCCCCAAATGCTCTTGTTCTTTCTGTGTTAGAAGTTATAGATGAGGGGCCGGGGGAGATAGCTCAGTAGAATAAGCGTTTGCCTGGCAAGCGCAAGGCCCTGAGTTCAATCCCCGGTACCGCAAAAAAAAAAAAAAAAAGTTATAGATGAGCTAAAATTAATGACGTTAGCCATATATCTTTGCTGTATGCCATGCTTTCCTAATCGCTCAAAATGAGCTAAGTGACTATGTTTATAATCTTATTGGTTGATTGTAGTTTGACTTATTGTATCCCCATTGTGCTTTTATAATACAAATTACTCCTGACAAAGGTCCTGACTATTACCCTTCTGGAAATTCAAGAGCTATTTTCCTTGCCCTCATTTCCAATAAAATATTTCCTAAATCCTTCCATTGGTGGTGACCTCATTCCTCAATGCTGTCAGACCACAAACTAGGCACATCTGACATCTGGAGGGTTGGGAGTTTTATTTTTCCTATAGCATAACAAAGAGGTGCAATCACACTACTGAATGTAAGGAGGAAGGATTCCCTGAGCTGTGAAGGATAAGTCCATGTTAAGTAAGATGGGATAAATAGTAAGTGGGATAAACGGCGCATGCAAAGACCCAGAGGCAGGAGGGAACATGGAAAATACAAAGGAGCCACAGAAGGCAAGTGCTGGACCCAAATGAGCAAAGGGCAGCATAATAGAAATACAGCAGAAGCTTGTGAAGCCTAGAGCTTAGGTAAGAGCTAGGAACTTTATTAGGTTATGCTGTACTTCTTCTCTCCTCTCCTCTCCTCTCCTCTCCTCTCCTCTCCTC